TGAAACAACTGTTACAAATTACCATCTGCAGTGCAGTAGCTTAGTTCCCAGGTATCAGTATATATAGTTAGTCAGGGTGAGAATCTTTCCAATTAACTACTAGATTAAAGAATTATATTGGAAACTTTTTAAACTAATTTTTCAGGTTTATATCTGGTAACCTAAACAACTAATTAGATAACATTATGCAATACAACAATCACTGTTGAATTCTCATTACTTTTGAAACATTTCTATTTTTTTTTACCATTTTGTACTCTCTTAAAAAAAAAAAAGCATTTGAGAATTAGAAGAGGTAGTCATTTCCCCATAGAATTTATTGTAACTTGTCAAAACCCTTAATCAAGACTACTTCAACTGAGCTTTCTCAGCACTTCATACTGGACTAATAACTCTCTTTCAGGCTGTTATGGGTTATATCAGAGTGTGATATTAACTAGAATATGCACCCCATAGGAATAGGGATTGCATTGAATAGGGATTGCATTCTTCAATGTGTTGCCTGGCACATAGTTGGTGCTCAAATACCTGATTGTTAAAGTTAGCCTGGATAACCAACAAGTACATTTGCCACTGCCTCTCTCTAATGGCCTTTGTTTCTTTGACACAGGCCAACAGATCCCGAGATCTTGGTGCAATTGTTTACTGTGTTGGTGTGAAAGATTTCAATGAAACACAGGTATGGTGGTGGATTCCTTCAGGTGTGGGGACATACAGGCCTCATGAATAATGGAAAACTTGCACATTTCATACAGAGCATGCATCACCAAGATAAATATCTTTTAGATGGGGGTATTTTTCTATAAATGCCATGCAGGAAGGAATTGTTGGTATGTAAAGAATACGAAGCCATTTTCTGAAGCCTTTGGGGTCTTTAGCATAGAACTTCCAAGCAGGATCTTTCTTAGCTGATGTTCCCAGCAAAAGTAAATTGACAAGATCTGGACTAGCTTGAAAACTTTCTTTTCATTTAATTTGACAAGTATATTTTTATTCAAATGATGTATACTCCCTTTGCCTATGAAAAATCCAACACATGTTCAATCCAAAATATGGAAATAATTGGACAGGTAAGGCCAAAAGACTACAGAAGGAGCAGAGGAGACAATTCAGTTATCTAAGTGCCTTCCTGGCAAGTGCAAAGACTCAGGTTTGATCCCCGGTACCACATGCTGTGCTGGCCTCGTGCCAACCTGGCCACCAAAACTGGGTGTGGTGGCACATGTCTGTAATCCCAGCACTAGGGAGGCAGTGACAAGTGGATCACTAGGAGTCTGAGCTGCATAGCAAGACCCTGTACCAAATGAATGAATAAATAAATAGCAACACAAATATATATATAAGCCAATTTTGAAAAACTGCTAACCTAAATAAATGTTCCTCAATGTAGCTCATAACTTCTTGTTGTTATAATGCATAAGGAAATGCTTGGGATATAGTGTTGAATGAATAGAAGAGGACTGTGTTGAATGAATAGAAAAGGATTGTATGGCAGTGAAAGCGGTATGTGCCCACTGGCACTAAATATGCATATGTTTGCATTGAAGAAGTATTAAAGACTACATATTTCAAACAGCTAATAAACCAGGAAAAGAGAGACAATAGGTAGGGAAAGATTACAAGTGACTTTTTATTTTAACTCTCTTGTATTTTCTTAGGTTTTAACAATGAGCATATGTTATTTTTGCAGTCAGTACAAACAGAAAAGGGTACTTTTAATTCTGTATACGCTGGCACCGACTCTGTGTCAATTGGAGAAATGCACAAAGATTTGGGGTGGAAAAATTCACAGACTGGGTTCTCCTTGCTCTTAGCCCCCTGCTTCATAAAGCAAAGCAACAGCAAGATTCCCCTTTCCTTATGGGTGGCTTAGGTGAACAGTTGGGGTCCCTATGCATTGGCCTCGCCCAACACCAAAGCCTGGATTTATTTTTTTTAATTGCTCTGAAAGGAAACCTGAGTCTGTTTTATTCAAATAAAGTGGCCAACAGGAATTTGGGTGAATGGGAGAAAAACGAGCCAATGGCCCATCCCCAAATCCATAAATATACCAACCGAGGCCAAATATTCATCCAGCTGGGTAATCTTACCTCAGCTTCCAAGGAGAAAAATATTAAAACAAATGTAAAAGCTGGAGCCGGCCCTCAGGCCTGCTCCAACGGAGCCACTGCTAAGCTCATTAGGGCTGCAGACCCTTCCGGGAGGGGCCCTGAGCCCCGTGAAGCCCTGAGCCCTCCAGGTTCCAAATGGAGGTGGAACCCCAGATGCAGCAGCCTTATGTCCTTCTCCACATCCTCACCTGACATGTCTCCATGTGTGTTTGTGTTTGCTGGGTTCACAGCTGGCCCGGATTGCGGACAGTAAGGACCATGTGTTCCCCGTGAATGATGGCTTCCAGGCTCTGCAGGGCATCATCCACTCTGTGAGTATTGCACATCCTCCAAGGGGATGGGCGAGCACTTGCCATCCCCCATTCCCAATTGATTCCCCGCTCCCTCTCCTGAGGCAACATTTTTCTGCCAAGAGAACATTCCTTTGTACCTCTTTGTGTCTGCATCCCCTTTTTTCTTCCAGGCTTTTATACTCCTGTGCCAGTTCTACACAGCTATGGAGAGCTAAAAGTTGACAGGGACCTTGTGTGGGCTGTGAGCCAAACTTCAGGTGGCATCTCAGTTCTTGTACTGGGAAGACTGGTGGCTGGTCATTTGCATTGACCAACCTCAGCTTTCCCACTTATGACTGTGTGGAAGCTGCCTTTGGAGTGTTAGCAGGCTGAAAGTGTGTTACCTAGCCAGGGGAGATGACTTAGAAACCTCTGACATTGCCTGGAACACTTGCTGCCTGGATCTCTAGTCTGTGCAGTCACCATCCCTCCTTCCACATATACATGGTTTTTCCAGCCTTTTTCTTGGACACTGGCTTCTAGGGCCTCACTTCTCCATCTTCCATACCCTGACCAGGCCCTTGGCTGGAATATTGGATGCTGTGGCCTTCAAAGCCTCATCCAGGGGCCAGTGAGATAGCTCAGTAGACTAAGCAGCTGCTTAGGCAAGTGTAGGGACTGGGGTTTGATCTCCAGCACCACGTGCCATGCTGGCCCCACCCCCAGACGCACTGAGCTGGCCACCGAGACCAGGCATGCTTTTGCATGCCTGTAATCCCAGTGCTAGAGAGGGTGAAAAAAGAAGAATCACTAGGAGTCCAAGCTGTATAGTGAGACCCTATAGCAAATACATAATTCAAGAAAAAACAAAAATCCAATGTGCTCTACTAGCAATCTTAGGAGTAGCCAGGCATCCTGTGGCCATCAGTGGGAGCTCACCAAGCTGCAGACTTGGGGTTCAGGCTACAAATTCAGAGCTCAGAAGACCAACACCCTCTTAAGGGGATCTTGGCCTGGGACTTACTGGCTGGAGCCTCAGTATCTTTCCCAGATAACCTAAGGAAGCCACAGCATGGCTGTGCCTCTGCATGGCAGCTGAGATCCTCCATGGATTGCTAGGAGCTCCCGCAGAGTAGAAAACAGAGAAAGAGGGATGAGCTTGAGAGCCGACAGCCCAGAGTCTCGGTGCCCGCACAAGCACTCGCCACTTACAGATACTAGCACACGTCCCTAAAGCAGGAATTAATGAGCTTGAAATTTGTTTTCGAGGCTTATTGTAAAAAAAATAAATAAAGTCTTACCTGCTATCCTTTCAGACACATAATAGGCACTCAAGGCACAGGTATCAGTTCCTCTTCCCCATGCCTTCCTCATTGTGTGATGGGCATTAACATCAGTGACATCTGATCCTCTAAATTTTCCAAAATATGTGCAAAGCTCACCTGGATCGTGCTTGTAATACCAGTCCTTAAACCCTTTCCCAGAATATCCTCTTACAGCCAACTGGAGATATATTCAAGGGATGTGTTTATTCTGAATCTGCAGTAAAAAATTAAAAAAAAAAATTAAAAACTGGGCGGCCAGGTTTACTTTTAGAAAAACTAATACATGTGACTCTTCAGTTTTAGAAATTGTGAAAAATAATCTGCATCAGATAGGAAATTCTTATCTTTGATATGTAAAATGATAGTTGTTTTATTCAATGTATATTTGATGGCAAGGAACAAAAACTCACTCAAACTACCTTCACCAAAAAGGGGGAATTATTGAAAGGGTAGAGAGGCCTCAGACCCAACGATGGGTCCACAAGTGAGGGAACCCAGCTCTGAATTTCTGGGGTCACTATGGGGCACGCATGATAATGTAAGCAATAGAAGCTACAATACCGTATAAAACAACAACCCAACAATGGGAAACAACCAAGCAGTATTTGGGCCTGATGGTGAGGCCTCCAGAGGCTCAGAGGTAAATTCTTCTAGGTGGGAGCCTTCCTGAGGACTTTGAGGACATTAGCATCACTGAAAGATCAGGGACCTGGGGGCAGATGCCAAAGCAGAGATGGCATGACCTTGGCCTCTTTCTCAGGGCACATTTGGGACAACAATGGTCACATTAGACTGTGTGGTAGGGGAGTTTCAGAGGTAATGGAAAGCAAGCTTGAGCATTGGATTAGAACAGCTTTGTAAGAACTTTGAAAGGGTTTTGACTCCATCTTACAGGTGGTATCACTGTAGCATTCTTAAATGTTTACTTTTTAATTATCACACAATAAACGTACTTAATGGAATGCAGTGTGAAATTTCAATACGTGTATACAAAGTATACTGATCAAATTAGGGTATTTAATATTTTCAGCACTGTATCATTTCTTTGATCTCCTCTTTTCTATCTCTTCATAAAATGACTGCAACATTTTTTAATACATACCAGGTGATATTTAAGAAAAGAGTTATTGGCATGTCTGTGTTCCATAGGAGGAAGCTTGCAGATGCCGAGGCAGTAGCCTAGTCAGAGGGCTCTGACTGCAGACCTGCCTTCAGATAGCTGGATTCTAAACAAGGACAAATCTTTTATCTGTTCAAAGGTTCTTATGAGCCACATGACTAACATCATTCAAGAGTTGGTTCCTACACAAATAATTAGAATCTTTTTATCTGTGTAAAGTAGTGTTGTCCTTGAATATTTTAGCCTCAACAACTCACCCAAGCTCAACATGAGCCCGGATGTTTGTAAAACTCCCCTCATGCTCAAATGGAAATAACTCCAAGGATATGTTAGAAGTTTTAGTGCAACAGTGACCCAAAAAAGGGAAGAAAAATAATTTGAGACTTCAGTCTCCAGACTTTTAGCTGAATGATAACATTCTTATGAGCTTTTATCTGGAATTTATACTAGTGGTTTTGATCTTGCCAGTACTCAAAACCCATGTTTATGGCAGTTGTTAATTGGTTTGCTTGGACAGAGAAACAAGAAAAATCGCAGTAGAGCTCATCTTTCTTAAAGCAGACAGATATAATTATGGCCTAAAAGTCGGATAACTATTTTTAAGAAGTAGGTTCATTTCTCTTTTATGATGCTGAAAAGAAAGCCTTCAATTTTTTCTCCCTGAAGTATCTGCTCTAGCTTGTTCCCATGGATACTGTTTTGTTATTTTCTCATAATAAAATAGGACTGGCTTAATTATCCCAAATTAAGATGGTCAAGCAGCTTCTGAGAAACTCACATGGTTCATAAAGTTCTCTGCCTATAATGACTGTGTTTTCAAACCTGAAATGAAGATACAGGGGCAAATGCTTATTAATAGATCAAATATTCATTGAGAAACCTTTCATGGCAGGCTCTGATCATTCAGTTACAAGTGAATTGGGTGGAGCCCCTGACCCTGTGGTCTTTACAGTCTAGTAGGAAAGACATATAAAAACAAGTAAATACATAATTTAAATTGTGATAAACAGTATAAAGGAAATAGCATATCCCAGGGTTTAAGAGTAAATTGGTTGAAAGAGGATGCAGATTGCTATGAAGAGATGACCTAAAGGATAGAAAAGGAACAGTCCACTGGGGCAGCAGGGTAGAATGTTCTTGCAAAGCATGACCCTAAAGTGCACAGGAGAATAAAAGACAAGTACTCCAGGTGGAGCATGAGAGAAGAAAAAGAAGCAGGCAGACTTAAAGGCTACAGTATGTCCTCTAAGGTCAGTGGGGCACACTCCCCCGATGCAGCGTCTGACAATAAAGCAGTCGATAGCTCAGAAGTCTTATCCACGCCCCCTCTGGGTGGTGAATAAACAGACATTCAGAATCAGTGGTAATGGGTCTGTGCCTGTGTGGAGAAGAAAAGTCCTGATTATTATGCATCTTTCCACTAAGCATTTACCTTATACCCTCTCTCTGAAGAAGGATGTATTATCCCCACTTGACGGGTGAAGACACCGAGTTACAAAAGGTTGATCAAGAGGAGAATTTCAACTCAGGCATAGCTGCAGATTTCCCTGACACTTGGATGTGAGTGTCCAAGGAAATGGAAAGTCACCTAGGATTACCAAGTCTGATTAGAGCAGTGATCACCCAGGCCGGGCCGAGCAACTCAGACCACAGCCTCTCTGCTGCCTCAATCTGATGTCTTTTTGGTCCTTTCTCTATTTCCCAATCCTCTTACCTTTAAGAAAGAAGCACTTATAGATCAGACTTATATAATGAGTTATTTTTTAAAGTGCTCTCACTTGTTTTCCTTTTTATTTTCTTTTCTGTGGAAGACAGGGAAAAGGCAGAAGGCAATCAGCAGTTGTAGAGAACTCATTTTGAGACATGAACATCTTTCCTGTATCCCACATAATATTATTGTATTTAAAATCATACATGAGCTCTGGCCGTGGCTGCAGCTCAGTGATAGAGTGCTTAGTTAGCATAGATGGGGCCCTGGGTTCAATCTATAGCACGCTAAACAAAACAAAACAAAACAAAACAAAAAATACATTGCCCTTGAGCAAAGATTCCCTACCCATTTTATAGGCAAAGAAACCAAAGCCCAGACATCCTGTCGAAGAGAATGCAGCTCAAAGACAGAAGCAGGGTAGGAACTAGGCTTCCTGATCCCAGAGCCCATTCTCTCTCCTACCTGTTTCCTAGGAAGGTTTTAAAAATGTAGACTCCACATCTCACCTTGTACCAGGCACTGTGCAAATCATTTTAGACGTTTATGTCATCACTTCCTCATCAGCACTGGCTGATGCAGATGTGGGTGCCCTTTCTGTAGCATGGGTACTACAAAGCCACTCAATGAGTAGTGATCAGAATAGACTAGGTGCGTGTCCAGTGGTGGCAATGACCACCAAACTCTACTGAATAATATAAGAAGGAGAGAAAGTGGCTTGATATAGCTCTCATAGCTCCCGTAGTTACAGCTGGGGCAAGATCAAGACCAGAACCTGTGTGGCCTGGCCTGAGTGCACAGTGAGTGGGCAGGAGCATTTTCTGCCTTCTACAACTGGGTGGAATATCCAACCATTGTCAGTGGATGAAGTTTCATCATCTCAAGA